ATTGTTTGTCCCGTTATTCTTTTTCCTTCCTCTTTTCCTTGTCATCCCCTTTAGTTTTAAGATTCTTGCTATAAATGGCTACAGCTAACACTATTAATGCTAAGTACCAAACAACAAGTGGGAGGTGGATCGTTGGTACCATTAAATCGATTTAACACCGCAATTCCAGTCGCAAGCCTGGGACCACTACTAGCATAGTCACAACATCTACAAAGCTGCCATATAGCCTGACTGACAATTTTCTCGACTGACTGACAATGTTTCTTCTTTTTCCCCATTTAGAATACAAAGATTAGTACATTTTAGCTTATGATTAATATTATATTTTTACCTATAGTTTACTTAGATTTTTTAATAGTGAGGCACGTGAGGAAGAATAAAGTTAAAATGTATTGCATTTATTAGCTAACTATATTAGCATTAAGAGTTATACCTAATAAAAAGTAAGAGCATGCACCTCACACATTGTTGTCTAAGGCAGGCCCGTCACAAGATTAAATCAATTCACAAATTGTCTCATCTTTCAATGTAACATGTAAACTCAACGCTGACATATCAAGGCTCACGAGATTCCATGAGCGGAGGAAGAGTGTAGAGGCAGCTGTCACGCGATATTGTAATAGTATCAAAGTGTAAATGCTATTATTATAATATAGTGTAAGAAGAATGTGTAAAACTAGGAAGCACATGTTGTGGGCCAGAGGAACACTGTTGTTACTGTTCTGTAGTTACCTGCTTACATTAGTGGCTTTGACTGTCGCTCTCTATAACAAATCACGAGAATATTTCTATGAGTACAGTTTGATCTGTACGTGTACAACTCGCATTTTTATTATTTTTCTTTTTATCAAAGCCTGTCAGCTTTAGAGTATTGTTTAAATCGTATCATTATCATTGGTTTATCAAACTTCTTCTCCTATCGAGTAATTAAAGTGCTGAAAAGTTGTATGTGGCAAAAATGAACGTTGAGCAGCATACGTTAGCACGATAAAGTGTTGTATGTGCAATATCTGGTTGCTCTATTTCTTCTTTGAGGATGTAGATTGAATGTTGTTAGCAAATTTCATCCTGAGGTTTTCATACTTTGAGCCCCAAAAGCTATAACATATCTCAGTTTTTGTGAATTGTAACAGTTTTCCCAGTACCTGTTTCCGTGTCTGAACTCTGGGTGTTAAATCACGCACATATTCTGTATTAACGTGTAATGTGATATGATTCCTGTGTGTATGATTAGGTAAACTAATCAAATACATTGGTGCTAGCAATCTCATCTTAACGAATCTCCTTTACCATACGTTAGGCGTACGCTTTATGGTCGAACTCTTTGTAACCCAAGTTTTGGTATTGCTATTAAAATTGTTAACATTGCGGTCATCCTACAGTTAACTCTTTCTAGATAGACCTCTTGACTTATAACCATTGAGTTTATTGACTATTTAGTATTTAATCATTGGTAATATTACATAATATTTGTGAGAGAAATTTTGGAGATTCTTAAATTAACTATCTCTAGGCATGTTTCAAAGGATAATAATCCTATCATTGACTGTCTTATCAGGTGAGTTTCTCAAATAACTTCAATTTCTTTCATCTCATTTATAATTTATAACGTCCATTTGAGAGGATAAAATATGTTTTTAGATTCGTCTATTTTAACCTATTTATTAAATTGCTTTTCCTTCTAAATCTTAAACCTCCTTCAGTTTCTGGAGCTCTCCTCGGAGCCAACAAGTGTACTTGGGGACCCAAACATTGGTGTGCCAGTATCAACAACGCCAAGACATGTGGTACCGGCAGTGAGAAATACTGCAGAGACAATGTCTGGGTCGGCAACCACCCTCTTGCTAAAATGACTCGTCCCATTCCTGAGATGATGCCAGAAGTACCCCAGAAGTATGCGTTTGACCCTGAGATGGATGAAGCGCTGATAAAACCCAAGAAATTGACTGAAGAAGAAAAAGCTAAGGCCATGGGTAGGATGATGAACCCCTTTGTTGGAGAATACACGGAACATAAAGTTGGCGGGGTAAGTTAACTTTGTTCTGCTCTTCAATAATTTTGGAGAGTTTTTCTTTCTGAAAATTGTCTCGTTAGCTATTCTCGTGTTATATGACATAACTTCCAAGAAAATCTGAGGTCAGGCCTCTCCGTTTGATGACACTATATTGTAACAATTATAATTTGTATCCACTACTTGCATCGGGAGTCTGATTTAGACAATAATTCCGTTTTAAAAAACCCATATTTTCAGAACTGTGCGCTTTGTGAGCTGATCGTCAAAGAAGCTTTCTCCAAACTGAAGGAAAACGCCACCGAGGTTAGTTAGATTAATTTGAATAGAATTAAATTGTTTAAACTTAAACTTTTAAAATTGTTTGATTGACCCAGCCATAATAGTTAAGAGTTTATCTTTCCAATTGCACACTTTTTATTTCCAAAACACAACGAAACCTCCAGACTGGATGATATTTGCACTCTTTTGAGGAATAGTAAGATTGTATAGTGTCAGTAATTAGATATTAAAATCAATTATTATACTATGTTCACTCTATGTCTGATTATACCAACAATAAATATGCAATTTTGTTTATTACTACATAGAATCAGCTCTATTCGTTACCGTTGTTAAATTGTAATTAGAAGATAATTGATTCTGATAAGAATGCAACTGAGTGTCTAATGTAGCAGTTAGAATGTGGCCGCGCAGTTATATTAATATAATAACACTCCTTCTTTCAAGGAATCGCTAATTGATGATATGGACAAGTTGTGTGACATCTTGCCAAGTTCCGTTGAGGATAGTTGCCGGCAGTTTGTGGAGGAATATGGCAGAGAATTCTGGGAGGCATTTGTGAACAATGTCGATGTTCACACACTCTGCTCTTACATCGGCTTGTGCGCATCGGTAAGTGAAAACGCTGTTCTGATTGGTTAGTTTGTGTCACGTGTTGTAAATACTGTGCTCTGATTGGTTGATTAACGGTATATGAAAATTCTGAGAACCCACATTATTTATCGTTATTTGAGCGGTTAAACAGGTTACCCTGCATATCTATGATTTATTACGTTACAAAGAACTGAAAAATCAATGTAAAATAAAACATTTCCCATTCACAGGAGTTCTTAGCAATAGTAAAGAGAGACAACGTTATGGTACAGTTCCTTTCTAAAAATATCGAAGGAATAGGTTGTGACACCTGCTCGGCTGTCATGGGACTGGTACAGAAGGAGGCTCTCGCGAACGAGGTTAGTGGTACCCATAGTGATAAAAGAATTGTCAAAATTATGTAAAAAGTAGTTTTTAAAAAGTAGTTATGGATCAACACCATTCATCATTATTCATTTCAGAAACTTCTTGAAGGATTATTGGATCAGACCTGCTCTATTATTCCTGTAGACCAGGCCACTTGTCAAGATACCGTCAATGGAATGTTTGAGGCCCTGATTTCTCTCTTCTCGTCCTACTCACCCGAAGAGGTTAAACTTAGCTTTCAAATATATATTCCCTTTAGGGGTCGTTCACATATTACGTAATCAGCCGAGGGGGGGGGGGTTTTCAAATGCTTACGGTTGATTACGGGGAGGGGGGGGGGGGGGTTTGGTCGTTGATTACGTAATCAACATTTTAATTTTTTACCGATTTTCGAAATACCAATTGGACAATTTTCGTTAATTATGTAATCAAAATTTTCGTTTTTTTAAACCAATTTTCGTTTAGTAAGTGCTTTGCGATTATTTCATTCATTTATCCGTTGTGATAGCTTTTAATAAATAGCTTTTAATATGGGAGGGGGGTTGGGTCTTGATATAGGGGGGGGGGGGGGGTTGGGTCTTGATTACGGTTGATTAGGGGGGGGGGGGGGGGGAGGGGGTAAAAATTGTCAAAATATTGATTACGTAATTTATGTGAACGACCCCTAATATTATGAAAAGTTGATTTATTTTGTACTAGTACTGTATTTGATCGACATCCACTAAACCCTGCCGAGTTATAACTCTATGATAACAATTCAAGTTAATGAGAAATTAAATAAAACTTCCTCTGTCAGCTGTGCCAGATGGTAAGTTTGTGCCCCAAAATGGAGGCCATCCTCCTGGGACTTGGACCTGCAAAGATGGGTCAGGTTGGACAGACAGGACCTGCTGCCCCCAAGATGATGCTAGGAGAAGACGACTCTTGTCAGAACGGGCCTGGATACTGGTGTGCCAGCCCTGAGAACGCCATAGAATGCAACGTATGTTTAGCCGCGCCCCACTTCCAACCCCGGAATTGTGCTATTTCACTGTTTAGTTAAAAATCAGGGATTTTTTACACCCTTAACTGCACATTTATTAGCTTGGATATTGAATATTGAATTGTTTTCAGATGGAAGAGTACTGCAAAAAGGAGTCACCGATCGTTTTCTAGATAGGCTCAACAGAAAACACAACCTGCTAACGTCGAGAAATGACTATGTATGACTCTAACAAGATCATTTTTCAGAGTTTCAACAATTGTTTGAGTTTACTATTATATATATTGCGTATTGAGACGCTCCTCCCTATATTATTGTTAGAAATACATATAATATTAATATGAATAATACAGAAAATTGTTGCATGTTAAAAAATCAGAGCCTGAGAAGACATTTTTTGACTTTTCATTTTTGCAGAGTTCATTTTTGTACTTATTCAGATTTATCTCAATTGAAGATGTAACGAGATTTTAGATTTAAAGGGTATTCTACGAAAATTAGATGGTTTCACCTTAAAACGAAAATAGTAAAATAAAAGTTCGGCGTGGACTTCAACATGTAGCCAAATTTTAGATCGCAATTAATGAATTCCTATTTTTATAGTCGTTTTTTATGTTGATTAGTTTTGAAAATCCGAAAGCACAAAATATCATGATTTGTATTCGAATTTAAAATAATGATTGAACGTTTTCTAAAATGTTATTTTTGTTTTTCACTTTTACCTGTACGGCGTACCATCTGAATCATTGTTGGCAAAGGAAACACGTGTTTGCAGCAAATTAAATAGCATGGTTGCAAATTAGTACAGCACTTTAATCTTCCCTATTATATTGAAAACCAAGGATCAAATCAATCAATTCAAACATTTTCTTTCCTAATACTCTTAAATCACAGATGTAACCCGTAACAATATAATTTACAGAAACTTTTACCCTGATTCAAAATTTGTTACAGACTAAATTTATCTCGTTACAATTTTATACATCTTGACAAATATAATAGATATCACATATCATGTTTAAACTTAATCTTAATCAAATAATAACGTAATAATCGTCCCTTCATGTTTCAATTTTTGCTTACATCTAAAATTTGCTCATGTTTCAAAAACAATTAAAAAGGCGATTAAAAATTCGTCGTATGGCCAGGCTGTAATAATAACGTTGTCATAATAATTCTTAATTAAACAGTACATTTCACTGTATAAAATGCAGATGTGAAATGTAGGGAAAATCAACATACTAAGCAGCAGTCATCGACCAAGATCGAGTTTCGTCGAATCGGCAGGCGAAATTTCTATGCTCAATTTCGAGACAATTATGTCTAGAATCCAGTCCAGGCCCCTCCAAAATTTAGGCAATCTCGGCCCTGCTAAAAATTTCATCCAGACCCCGGTCGATTTTTGTACTGCTTCAGCCAAAGAATAAAAAGTTAACTTTATTAATCAAGAACGTCAAAACATAGAAATATTGATAAAAATAGTAAAAAGACCTTAAAAATCTGCAAGAAATCAGACTGTAAATATAAATCGGAGAATAATACGAACAGAAAGCTGCAGATATTTTGATTGGGTTCGGTAGGATTTATCAAGGTTAGAAGACCAGTAAACATGGTAACAGTTCCAATTAAAGTTAGTTCTAATAAATTTCAGAAAGTCACAGGTCAGATAATTAATAAATAAATGTGGCGTTAATTGTTCGAATTTTGAGCTTGAAAAAGATCCAGTTATGGTATGCATTTAACACACCCCAAATATGCAAAATATGATCATAATCTAAAGCAGGGAAAGCAGTAAATAATAACAATTAATATAATAATAAAAATTAACAAATTAATTGTTCAGTCCTTTAAACTAATCACTGTCAGCAGAATTTAGAGGCGTTGTCCATGATGCTGGATAACAGAGTTTTGTCCTCCAAAACAACCTCTAGTTCTTTAGGTTGGATACGAAGTGACACTTTCATTTGCCTTTTCTCTTTATGACTGAAAGAAAAACAGTGGTTAGTTCAGATGTGGCGATAACATCATTTCCTTTGATTTACTGCCATACTGTTTCTTAATGTTCTTTAAGTTTTTTAAGGCGGGGTTGTTCGTTTCCGCTTCTTGGATACTGCCTAGATTTTCCTCAAACGTCGAGCTTTTTTACTGCTTCGTTTTCCATATTTTTTCATTTTTTGGCTTTGCAGATACAAAATTACTTTTTAAAACCATAACTATAAAAGGAAGCATTTTAGGGCGTTTAGTTGTTCATAACTCATATATAAATGTGCTAGTTTCGGTTATTCTGCACCCTTCTAGAAGTCTCTAGCACAATCTTATCGAAATTTTAGAAAAATCTGTAAATACATATAATAAAAAATATATGATAAAAAACGAAAAATGTGCCTAAATTTGTTGTTTGGCTTTGAGGTGCAAAAGATCAACTTTCCAGTTTTGAAGGCATCAAATCTAATCTCGAAATTTTATGGCTGGGTGGCCTAGTTATAGTGGTTAGAGTTATAGTGGTTAGAAGGTTCAGGGTTCGAATCCCAGTTTCACTCAGTCTAGGGAGTAGCTAAGGATTCATTGGATCTATACGATCTCTTCGGTCGACTCAGCCGAATGATAGGAAACTTGATTGAGGGTTAAATGAGGAGGGGTGCCTGTGCCAAAAGATCAAGAATCTTAGGATACTCCTTCAGAACATCTACATTGTAGTGTACTGTAAAACAAGGGCGGTCGAACTATTCGATGACCCTGTAGAGGAATCTACGAACTTTACAAATTATACAAATTATAATGGGGGGGGGGGGGCAATGGCATAAAATGGCATAAAATGGCATAAAATGGCATAAAATGGAGACTTTTTCTATGGAGAAAATGGAAAAACCCATGAGTAATTCTCCATTTTCTCCATTTTATGCCATGAATTTTGTCTTCGAAATTTCATCTTTAACACCATTTAACACCTAAATTGGACATCCTAACATGTTTATTTACGCTTACTGGGGGCGTTACAAGCTTATGAAAGCTCATAGTAGGCTACTAGATGCTTATACTAGGTTAGTAGAGGCACACTTCAGGCAAACTCATAATTACTCAAGCCTAGTGTAAAGTTATTTCTACAGGCTACAGCAGGAGTGAGTACTGAGTAATAGGGGAGAGTAATAGGCACTGAGAAGTGAGACCTACATCCTCGACAGTCGAAACAAGCTCGCACTGCAAAGGGGAGGCCTGCCTTCCGAGATCGCATTACCAGGGGGAAACCTCGAGTCCAAACTTGTGTATCGAGGGGTAGGTGCAGACTTCGATAAACCGAAAAACCAAAAAAATATTTTCGGCTTATAATGAAGAGGGTAACATGAAACGTAGAGAAAAGTGGTTTTTAGAAAAACTTTGAAAAAGTTTGACTTAGAAAATTTTCGGCCCGAGTCATTCTCCATACGTACCTCTCGTATCGAGAGCTCCCGATTCCGAGCTCGTGTTGCAAAGGGGAGGCCTGCCTTCCGAGATCGCATTACCAGGGGGAAATTTTTTCTGAAAACCGCTTTTCTCCACGTTTCATGCTACTCTGTTCATTATTTGCCGAAAATATTTTTTCGGTTTTTCGAAGTCCACACCTTCCCCTCGATACACAATTTTGGACTCGAAGTAATGCGAACTCGGAAGGCAGGCCTCCCCTTTGCAACACGAGCTCGGAATCGGGAGCTCTCGATACGGGAGGTACTTATCGAAAATGACTCGGACCGAACATTTTCTAAGTCAACATTTTTCAAAGTTTTTCTGAAAACCACTTTTCTCCATGTTTCATGCTACCCTGTTCATTATTTGCCGAAAATATTTTTTCGGTTTTTCGAAGTCCACACCTTCCCCTCGATACACAATTTTGGACTCGAAGTAATGCGATCTCGGAAGGCAGGCCAACCCTTTGCAACAAGAGCTCGGAATCGGGAGCTCTCGATACGGGAGGTACTTATCGAAAATGATTCGGACCGAAAATTTTCTAAGTCAACATTTTTCAAAGTTTTTTCTGAAAACCACTTTTCTCCATGTTTCATGATACTCTGTTCATTATTGGCCGAAAATATCTTTTTTTTAAATAATTTTTCTCGAAATTCTAAATTTTTCAGGTTTTCAATGGCATAAAATGGCATAAAATGGCATAAAATGGCATAAAATGGAGACTATTTCTATGGAGAAAATGGAAAAACCTATGAGTAATTCTCCATTTTCTCCATTTATGCCATTGGCCCCCCCCCCCCCCCCCCCCCCCCATTATAATTAAATATTTTGGGTTGGAATCGGTGTGGTCACTGAACTTCCTGTGAGGTCAATTGGGTTGGCCGACACAAACCCCTTTTTGGTGTATACCCCCTTAATAAATGACCCGTAAATTAATATTAAGAGATTGTTAGATACTATAATAATTATACTCACGTTTTGACGGAGACGAGACCTCTACTTTCCAACATACTGATCATATCCACAAACTCTGAGAAATCAGGACACTGGAGTCTTCTTTCAGCACACACCTGGGAGGATAATGTTGTCATTAAGGGACATTTGGATGCTTTATTACGAAAGCCTTTTCATGGTCCGCAATTTTGGATTAGTGAAGTATAGTAAGCAGTAAGGGGTCGTTCACATATTACGTTATCACTGGGGGGGGGGGGGGGGGGGGGGAGTTGTTTAAAAAGTTATTACGTAATATTATATATTTGAACGACCCCTAAGTTACATATATTATACAATATACATGTACATTTATTTGTTTACCTTTAACAATGTAGTGTGAAGCTTGGCATACGTGACAGTCTCAGTCTTAGCGCCGTGTTTCTTGCTGGTTGCTATGGCAACAGAACAAAGCAGTAACTGTTGTTGGAGTGGTAGTGTTGATTCCGATGTCTTGCCAGACAACTGGTTCTGTATCTGCAATGAGACCACTGATTAGTTATCAACAAACTTGATTGTTAGTTGAGATACTTGTATGGAGTTAAATTAAAGAAGTATCATCATACATATAAAACATGTAAATTACATATAAAATAGTCCCACCCAACAACTAACCTGTCCACCATAGACCTCCTGAACAACTCTACTAATGAAGGGTATAGTAACCTTCCCGCCCTCCTGCCCTTTCATCTCCACCAGCTCTATTGCACGTCTGCAGATGTCTAGAGCTTTGCGGATGTCACCAGTAATTACAGAGATTTTCCTAGCACAGAACTGGATAGCCCCAGGATCCATTACTCCCTCAATCTCTGGCACCTGCAAACAGTTACGTTAACAGAGTTTGACCAAGATTTCTTTGATTTTGTTATCACAAGAAACTTTCAATACTCTCATTAGCACACTTCTTAGTAGTTTAGTTTTAGCGATTGTTGTAACATGCACTCAGATTAAAATCCCACGCTCACTGCTTACTTAAAGGCCATCAACAGCTGGCTGACAAATTTTGATGTCTTATAATGTGCGACAGGTAAAGTAGGTGAAGCAGATTTAACGAGCCTTCCGTTCAATATGATCACAGTAAGAGAACTAGCTATCGCCATAATAAATAACATCTCCTAAAATCTAATTAATTAGCTCGGTTACCTCTTTAAGTCGGTGTTGGATGATGCTTACAATCTGATCCTTGTTGTAGGGCGCGAAGTGTATTAGTTTGGGCTGACACGACACCTGAGCTTTTAGTCTGGGCAACTGCCTGTCTGTCAGATCTAGCGCATTTGCTATACCTGGGTGATATATTGGTGAAGTGTGGCTAGTGTATTAATAGTGGTTTGTGTGTACTCTCGTGTTGAAGTTAAAGAAAAACATAACATTTGTTTACATTGCAATCATTAAAATTTAAATGTTATATTTCTATTCCATGGTAAACGGATGTAGTGATATTAAACAAAACATCTGGACGATATACATACATGCAGCTCTGTAACCCCGCACAAAATAAGATCAACTTACCGATAAGGATGAGTCTAGAGTTGGCAAGAGCAGGCCACTCAAACAAAGTGTAAAGTATAGAGTTGGTTGTAGTTTCCAATTGATCAACTTCATCTAACAACATCACACTGCCGAGGAATAAAATTTAGCATTGAAAAGTCCCGGCAAACGTTATATTCAGGAGATAAATCTGTTCAAGTTACAATTAATATTGAGTTTGAAATAAGAAACAAGGTAGACCGAAACAAGCAGTCCTCGTATAGAATGGTGTTACTCACATCATTTTCCGCCTGTTTTTTGAAGTAATGAAAGATTGACAAGCCGTTTTAGTAGTTTTACTACACTGCAGTTGTGTAGCAATATCTGCATACAGAGCTTTCTTGGTGTTGTGGGACATACAGTTTATTTCAATCAGAGAGAAACTCAACTCCTCCTGCGACGATTCAGTTTCAATTCTTGGTCACAATTTAAGTTTTGATCTGTTTGTACACTGCGCCGCAGCCCGCAGGGTTAATTCTTGTGTATTGTATAAAACAGATGTGTATATTGAGTATGTTTATTGTATGCACTGCGTGTTATATTCGTCAAATGGTGAGCGCGGCGTCGAGATTTTCGCGCGTTTTTAGCGCGGAGCAAAGATACTCATACGAAAAGGTCTCGGCGCGCTACATAATTCGAATTCCCAATACTGTGCCATTGCAAAATATGTACAAAGAGCCATCGTTTTGTACTGTTGTACTATATTTAAACTGTAAACAACAGTTACGCTAACCTTGAGTTTTGAGAGGATATGAGAGAGTGATGCTGTTTTGCCAGTCCCCGGAGCTCCGCTAACATACAGTGAAGCTGGGGCATAGCCTGATACGTTAGTTCGGATAAAACTCTCCAATTCCGTCACTTCACTCTCACGACCTATCAATCTGCGAAAACAGTATTGATAATGTGTTTCTATATTTAGTTTCTATATTCATTTATTAAAAAACTAACGGCAAAAATACGAGACTTAAAAAACAATACAAACATTTACCTGTCAGGTGTATTGCAAGACTGCAACTGTTTTTTAGCGCACTTCATAGCGGGAGACGAACCAGCGCGCCCTTTCGCTAGCTTCTGTTGCAATAGCTTCTTACGAGATATTGCTGCACAGTCTGAAGAAATAATACCAAGGGTTAGAAGGATAATTCCACAGTACAGTATACACCTTTAGTACAGCTGGACAGTGGACTATAGCTTCACAATATAGTGGTCCTACAGGCCTACACAGAAGTTACGTAAAGTACACATCTATTAAAACAGTACACAATGTACATGTCAGTACAAAAGGAGCTATAATATCACTCAAACACAGCCCTATTGTACTGCAGTGCCGTGGCCCTATTGTTGCTGCTACAGTAATGAAGACATGTGCTGTATCTCCGTGCTACAGCCGTCTGTAATACGGCCACCTAATCAAACTAGTAGTACAATACCGTCTAATACCTGCTCAAATTGCTGGTCCATGTACTGTTTAGATAATTAAACTCAGATATACTGTAATCAGACCGAACTGAAATTTAAGTAAAACTATTGTAGGATTCATATCATTGTTACTTTTATCATTTATCAATGAAGTAGTACGTCCTCATCAGAGAAGTTAAACTAGTTGCGGCAGAAAATCTGCACTGTATAGTGTCGTCAGATAAAATTGGCGTTTGAGATAAATTAACACTACGCTCATTTTTATAATCATATGACTGTAAAAAGTCTTGTACACACTGGATAGTGGATATCCCTGGCAGCGCTAAAATAAAAACTACATTTTTATAGGTTGACTTACCAAACTGTGGTTGAGGGAGTAGAGCAGGGTTAGGAACAACTCTGTGTTGTTTGAACGGACTCTTGAAGGGACTCTTGAGGTTGTTCTTAATGATCCTGGCTGGACTTTTGATGGGTGATTTGAGTGAATCTGATTTTATCACGTGATCTGAAAGATGAGCTGTGATTGAGGATGGTTTGAGAGATTTGCCGGGTGAAAAGAGAACTTTCTTGGGAGTGAGTTTCGTTTTGAGGGGAGATTGGAATTTGAGCTGTGAGAATTTGGAGGGTGTTTTTTGGGGTGTTTTAGTGGGTGTAATGCAGGAGAGAGGAACTCTGGTAGTTCCAGAACACTTCCGTTTAGAGGGGGACAGTGACCGCGGGGAGGCTGAAATAGTGATGTTAAACGTGGGGAGGCTGAAATAGTGGTGTTTAGTTTGCTTTCTCACACTTGTGAGAGAAACTAACGGTATTGTCAGAGCTATTGGAGGTTGTAACATGATATAAAAGATATGTTACAATTTTGATGTGACCACCTGCAGACCAATAAGATAGCCTGTAGAGCAATAAAATAGATTGTCGGTTTGATTGAAAACGACACTATTTCATTAGCCGATGCCCGATAGCCCCGTTATTACAAAACCCCGCTATTACAAAACCACACTGAACACACAACCACAACCAAGCCACGCTCCTTTTAGTGAACCAGGTGCTGTAGATATGTAGTGCACAAGGCTACATATCTACAACTCTCTGTACAGAGGCACAGAGCTACATATAATATATTCCAGCCTTCAAGACTACAATATCAACTATTCCTGAGTGTAGATCATAGTGGGTTGTAATTACTAATAACATTATTAGCTATTGTGCTTATTAAAGTGAGGTTGTTATTACCGGGTGGTTATAATCTATTTATATAATTATTACTCTGGGCGGTTGTTATTTATTCACATTACTATTAGAAGGCAGTTATATAATCTATTTACCTGGAGGCTCTATACACAGTCTTTTCCCGGGGCTCTTCTCACACGGATCATTTTTCCCCACTCCTAGTATCTCCTTTACTCCTCCATTCTTCTTTACTCCTCCATTCTCCTTCCTGTTCTCCAGTGGTTTTAATACCGGGTCGTCATTATCAAGAGGAACTGCAGTGAATAAGACAGTGGGGGTCTGTTTCCTCTCCCTTTTTGGGTAGCTTCTAACTGGTTCTGTTTTACTTGTTTGGGGTCGGGTCCTTCGTACTCTATACGCGAGCGTACTCTGAGACATCAAACTTGTGGGATATAGTTGGGTAACTTAAGAGAGTTTAATTTCAGTAAAGTTAGTTTCAAAAAGTACGTGACTAATGAGTTAGTACGTGACGATGAAACTAATACCATGTTAGCTGCTCTGCTATTACAGCTATTCTCCATGGGCGTGTTGCATTAATTACACTACATGTTATATAAGTACATATGATCATTGTCAATACGCACTTTACAGATGTGGGGGGTGTCACCATCACATTTGCCATCCCTTTCAAAAACGACGAATATAGCTAGAACGTCGCTATTCTCGCCATGGCAAAATTGAAGAATTGTACATCTAGATTCTAGATGGTGAAAATAGCGAGAATTTATCGAAATTTACAAACTTTTTGAAATGAATGGCGAATAGGTATTACGCCCCCCTCTACACAGTTATGGACATTGGAATTGCATCATTGCATGAATGCAGGAACACGGGGGTTCAGTGAGTACAGTGTCCACAGAGTGTACAATAACAAATACCTTATTACTGTATTAGACAGTGAAATAATGATCGTAACTAGCTGTGATTATTTGAAAATCTAAAATAAACATTTATCAAGAGGGTGAGATGAGTTTTACTTATCATAAGTTAAAATTCAACCATCAGTAGTACAACTACATATTACATAATATATTACTAGTGGCATATACATAATACAATGACATTATGGTATCTAAATAATAACTGTCAAGAAATTCAAATAGCATTACGATTATAAGTGACATCATATTATCATATTAATGATTAAAGTCAAGAAATTCAAATAGTATTACGATAAATCTGTAAGAGTGAAGGATTCAAATTATTCAATAACAAAAAATTAAATAGTTAAATAGCAACTTTTGAAAAATAAAGTTCGATTATGATCGATTATTTCCATCTGTGATCTGAAGCATTGCAAAATCAATTTAGTGCGTGAATTTATTTAACAATGATGGTTATATATTGAATATATACTAAGACAACAAAATCGAGTGAGAATGTCCCAGAAAGGAATAAGTGCAATATCATTAACTACGAGAGCGAGCGATAATCTTATATTAGATAATATTATGTACACACTACACGTCATTACGGCAAGATTGCTCCAATCTTTGGTGCAAGTTTTCACGGTGATCACTAGTTACACTAGGCACCCCACTTACATGTGTATTGTGTAACCGTTCTAATGGTCAGGGTATTTTACCACAAAGCAGATCTAACACACTGCATTAGTCACAGTTACATTATTTCAACTCTCACTTTGATAACACAAAAGTGGAGGTTTTGTTAAAAGTTCTGTTGTGTTCGGCAGACTTCTCGTATATCAAACCGTTTCCAGACAGTACGATACTGGTCTCATCTAATCTTACATTGCGCTATTAATAGAGGCTACAAATTGGAACGCGATTCATTGTATTGAAAGTAGAGTGTAACAGGTGACCACGCCGAGACAAGTGACCACAAAAAGGAGGTTGATTGCTGGGCCTATAACAAAAAAGCTTGTAAACTCTGGACAGTATAATTTAAATAGTCTTTAGTCGAACAGACCTGATTTATATCCTTACACGTTGTTCAAATGATCTGTAATCTTTCAATTAAATATTACTCAACTTTTCTCATTATCTTGACAACAAATATCGAAGGCAATAAACACACACTACAAACAGAACAATCACTGAGATACAAAGAGAATAATCTGGTAAGCTACAGGGTGTCCCAATGAGATGTCTCCTAAATAAGGCCCTTAGGTCCACATCTTTACTAAATAAGGCCTCATTAGACAGCGGAGTATGTCGAGGTGTTACATGAAGCACCCAATTACTAATTGGGCCAATTGGGGAGACTTTAATTACCCATCCTCAGGTTTACACTGATAACCAATCAGGCCAGGTTGAGGTGTAGAGTGACATCATGACATGCTATGATTGGTCACTAGTCAGGTGACATCACATGATCGGTCAGGTGACTAAAGTACCAAGTGTCCTAGCTAATAGACATTGCCAGGAACTAAATCACAGCTGCAGGTGTACTGTGCACCTCATTAACAACATCAGATACAGGAGTATCTAGTTCTAATGTGGTTTTAGTCTTGAGACCATATGATCTCAAATTATTTTAACCGGTGGTTGTACTCATTAAATATATATTCGGTGGTGTGGACTGTTTTATTGATAATTGATTAAAAAATCTTGATGATACATATCTCAAAATTTGCATAGTGAGTCGTGAAGTTGGTTGAATATCTGATATTTCAAACGTTCAAACTGCCAAAACTATTAAAATATTAGCGACAAATAGTAATAAATGAACATAGATCGAAACAAGCTTCATAAATCATAAAAACAAAGCTTCATAACCTAGCCTTCAGATCTGAGCGTGATCGAATAAATAAATTTGTCTTTATAAGCATTCCAAGCGTTCATTTATAATCATTTTAACATATGTAAGGCTAATATATTATACAGTAAATTTAATACAATTTAAACAATTACAAATTATTTTGAAGATATACCCATATATTCATGATATAACCAATCAAATACTGAGAAACTTTTCAATTTACGAATTCCGATCGAAATTCACCATCATCATTATGATGGTGATCAAAATTATAGACAAAATACCAATAAATCTTTGAATCTCATCCCAATCTAATCACTAATTTAGCCCTATAATAGAGCAGTGACCAGCACAATAAACATTAGCCAGATTCTAAAATAAACATCAAAATAATAACAATAATACAACAATTAAAACACAACACATAATATTGCACCTCAGCAAAAACAACTGGAAGAGTTACTTGGGTTTCCTGACTGAACTATTTGCTCCGGAGCTATCGTCAAGTAACCAGAGTCCTTATCCCTCGCCCCATCATTCTCAATAGTGTTCTTTAACACAAGCTCCAACAGTGCACCCACTGCCTCGTTTACGTTAATGTTGTCCATAGCACTTGACTCGATGTACTTGAAGCCCAGCTCAGTTGTCAAATGTTCAGCTGACTCCCTCTCCACCACCCTCTCTAGATCCACCTTGTTACCCACAATAACAACAGGTGGCTGTTCGTTGTAACAGTGTGTGTGTAGCTGGACTAACCAGTCGTTTATGTGATGGAAACTACTCTCGTTGGTCAGGTCGAATACAAGGAGGAAGCCCATGGCGTCCCTAAAGAAACTGCTTGTAAGACTCCTAAACCTCTCCTGACCTGCAGTGTCCCACAGCTGCAGCTGTACATTAACTAAAGATCCTTTGTAGTCAAACTTCACTTTCTTCTGACAGAAATCAACACCTACTGTAGTGGAAAAGGTAGTGTTGAACCGGTCCTCCACATAGCGGGTGAGAATACTGGTCTTACCTACACCTGTGTCACCCAGAACAAGAAACTTGAGAACATAGTCACATGGCTCATCAGGCTCATCTGCTGAATTCATAACACTTTCTGAGGAGTGATAAATTTAATATGTGAGATGTTCAGTGAGGTGGCTACTTGAAGTGGGGTTTTCAGTTTAAAAGACAAAATTTAGTTAATTGTCACAGCAAATAACAATCGAAAAGTTATCGAATCGAGTATACTTTAAGGATTTTCGTATGATAATAATTCAATCGCCAGTTAGATGCTATAAACAATTCATTACAGATTACTAAATATGTTGTTTCGTTTTTAATACAAAATATTTTCCTAAACAAAAGGGGCTCCAAAGCTATTGCACTGAATCAGGGTAATTGTTCACATTATGTTGGGAAAAGAATAGGCTGCAACAAATTTAGGTTTGCAGTAGACCAGGCTTTGTAAATCAGGGTTTATATTGTGATAGGATAGGATGGTGAAAGTGTTGGGAGTTTCATAAATAACTAAATAAGCGTGAAAGCAGTCAATTAAATTATTGTTATTAAATCTAAAATAGCTAATAATTTAATAAATTATTAACAGGCCTCTTAACGTGGGCAATAATATACGCTTTATAAATTATATAAACAAATTGAAGTCTATTTTCCAATGTTGTTAAGTGTCTCTTTAGATCTGTTTTGGTCTTTCGTGGGAGTTCCCACATTTGTTGGTTGAGAATGCTCAACATAACATACATGATGCTTGACTGCTTTATTGACCCGGACAGGCACCGGGGGCAGACATCCCAACACCAGTGCGTTGGGACATAGTGTTGGTCTGCTTCAGGACGTGTTAGATCCTAGAGAAGCCGCCATCCCCTCTACTGCTTTAGCTCAGCGGCAGCATGAGCCCTGGTTTCCTGCCACATTGGTACCTCTGAAAGTACAGAAAAGTGGTGGATTTCGGGGTCCAGGATACTCCCTCTTTGTTCTTTATGGTGGTAATATTTCTCTGAGATGTTTGCAGAGTCTTTATTTCATGATCTTTCTAGTCGGATAAATCCTGGAGAGCATCATTTTGTCCCCAAAGAAATTCGACTCTCCTAATGAATGCTTTTTGTGTGCTGCTTTTTGTTAACACTTCATCTAGATTCTAGATAGGAATGTGAGTCTGCCCCACCCAGCTCTTCTTTCAGTTGCAGGTAACTGGTCATGGTGTCTTGCACCTCCAGACACAATAGGAGCTGGTGTACGGGGGAATCAATGAAGCTGTTACAGAAACGACAGGCCTCACCACTGCCACCACCCATGATCTTTTGGATGTTCGCAAAGAGTGGTGAGCTGCCGTGAATGTAGTCCATTATTCGGCTGTCCAGATTTTTACTCGTGTTGTGCCCGAATAAAAAGTTGTTTTTGTCTAGGAGCAGCCCACTGTTTTTGATCTTTGTGATCACACCGAGTATCTTGGTCTCCTTGTTGTTACTGACAGTTCTGCATTGCAGATTTGTTTCGATGCTGTCAATCCAGATCTTATTTTTGTAGCTCATTATGTCTGCCTGAGTGTAATAGGCTAGATCCTTGAAATGTTGCTGCGTTAGGTCTATCATTCTGGTTCCGTGTGACTTATTTTCTTTCCAGAGGAAGTACTTTTTCATCCGCAAAATTTCTGG